GTATTAGCCTATTCTCCGATATGGAATCTGTCAAATGAAATTTGGGGAAATTCGCCTTTACGTCATCTGACACAAATTCCCTCTATTCTTCAAAACCCCTCTTTTGAGAACTCAATTTTAAAGGTGATTAGAGGTACTCTATTGCAGCACTTATACACACAGTTTCAATAGAAATATTCAAAACGAAAAAAGCAAAAGGAAACTCGGTTTGACATGAGCTTTTTCACTGTTCAGTGGAAAGTAATAAGAAATAACATCAACAGTGTCATCCGCGGCCAGCGAGAGTCTACAATTTCCTACGAGACTGTGCACCAGAAACTCAGCTCATACGTAGCCACCAGATGAAATCCGTTATCATTATATGGAAAACTACATCACATAAGTGTGCCCAGCCAATACTTTTCTCACTAGCAAGTCTGTAACCATAAAAATGAAACTTATCTTCTACTCCAACAATTTCCGCAGCTTCTTCCTGTTGTTGTGCGTTGTAATCAATGAAGAAAGTGGCTAAATTCGTTGAAAATTATAGGCTTACGGCTGCTTTGGAAAACGAGGAAAGATATGAAACGCGAGTGCATATAGTGCACGTTTTTTTACTTTATGGAAGTGGCTGTAAGGTGTGCGTGAAGGTTTTCGATTACGCGCATTCTAGTAAATAATATAGTACCGAACCATCGTGAGTACGCTAAGCAATTACTTGATCAAAATGCTATATTCTGCTCAGTGAGGCTAACTAGTATGCTGAATTCATACATTATCGCCAATCCACAATCTTACTATTGCATCTTCGCGTAAAGACGTAATTGATTCACATAGATCGATTTTAAATTCCCACAACAGAATTGAAAATAGCATAATTACCAAATCAAGATGTTTACTTATGCTACCTTTACATTTGGCAAAGGATCCTTCTTTACCTCTCTGTGGCCCCGCCCACCCTCATTTATGCCCTGATTGGTCAGGCTTAGACTAATTGGTCTGCGATTGGATGGTCGGAGGGCGGGGCGACATTCATTTATGTCGGCACATCTACACGGTAAAGAAACTGCGTAAGAGCCATTATACACTCGCACTAACTTTAGCATCTAAATTATGTTCAGTCTAGTTTGGAGGTATTTAGCATTAAAAAAGCGTTTCTGTGCTTAGTTGAAATATGGAAAAAAAAAGAAATTACAAGAAGTGGCAAAAGCTCTTCCAATTTGTTTAATTTCAGTTTAAGTGAAATAAGTGTGCAGGCGATCAGGCTTTCAAATAACATGAAACCATAAGAATCTGCAATCCTTGTCAATAAGATGCATCTTCGCATATGCCGCTGGCCTGGTATCCCAGAATTCTGAAGGCAAAAATGTTGTTGGACTCTTCGTGCCATGTATTTTTTTT